AAAGATTCCCCGACAGCCTCCATAGCCGTGACAGGACGAGCAGGGAGTTCGCAGACGGCCCTTGTAGCCGTGACAGGACGAGCAGGGAGTTCGCATCCGGCCTCTATAGCTGTGACAGGATGAGCAGACGGTTCGTAAACGGCCTCTATAGCTGTGACAGGGCAGGACGAGGATTCACAAAACTGCAAGACAAAGTCAATAAACTGTGCCAGGGTCCAACTAGGGTCTTCATCTTGCAAGTTTAAGCTAATATTAATAATCAAGACCGCTCCAGAAACAGTCTTTCACCACATCCTCATCACCCGGCATAAGGTGGCTATACAAAAGGAATTCCTCCACGTAACGTTCAATGGGTCTGCCATTTTGAAAAATGGAGCAGAGCACACTTACAGGGTTGAATAAACCTTTGGCTGGCTCCATAGCTGGTCTTGTGCTCAATATAAAGCTGCTGGATCCAGTTGAGGCCGAGTATTCTGTTACGTGGCTGACAAGACGTGAGACGTGCGGATCCATATGCAAGCTTTTATTTAGAAGACAGAGACGTGGTCATGAAACAGGCATCGGTCAGATAAAGGCAGACAGGTATATGGCGGGCAAAACACAAGAATAATCAAAACCGGGCGTGGTCGATAAGCGGCTAACAATATCCAGAGGGCTTGACACGAGGGGTATCCAATAACAATGCAGAGGTCCAGGCAGGGGCAAACAGTATCCGAACACGGCAAGACGAGAGAGGTAGTCCGAAGTACACAAGCAATAATAGGCTATCGAAGGGAAACAGGCTCTGTAGAGTAGCTATCGCTAAGAGAGAGATAAACGCATACAATATTCGGCAGAGGGAAGGGATCAGAGTGAGTGTTAAATAGTGAGGGAGTGATATGAAACAGCTGGGTGCAATCAGTGTTGTGTGCAATTAGTGAACCAGCTGTGTGCAATCAGTGCTGTGAATGATGGGATATGTAGTCCGGGATGATATGCAACAGTGTGAGTGCGAGAGTCAATGAAAATGGGAAGGGTGACCTCTGATGGTTAGCCGAC